GGAAATATGTTGAGGATGTCCCGAACGAAACGCTGGTTATTGAAATCCCGATCGATAAAACACATGGTAAAGTACACATGTTCGTCTGTCGCGGTTGTCTCGAGCGAAACGCTTGTTTTGCAGAATTTGTTGAGGATGTCTGGAGCGACACGCTTGTTTTGTGTTATAGGTTGTTCTTCTCCTGGGGACCAGAACTCAGAGGATGTCTCAAGTGAAATCCTTGTTTTCAAATGCCCAGGTCTTGAGAATGTCTCGAGCGAAACCTTCCAAAAACCTTCCAGAATATCTTCCAACGAACCCACCGAAAACCTACCGAAAGTCTTCCAAAAACCTTCCAAACACCTTGCAGCATCCTTCCGGAAACGTCCCCAAAAAACCGGCCAACAACGTTCCAACCTTTACCGAGATCACCCAAAACATTCCAAAAACCTTGCAGAGACCTTCTAAAAACCTGGCCGAACAAAACAAACTTCCAACTATCTTCCAACAACCTTCCAGAAACCTTCAAACATCCTTCCAAGAAACCTTGCACAAACCTTCTCGCAACCTTTCCAACCAAACAAACAAACCTTCTAACAACCTTCAAACATACAGTTGAATCGCACCTTCGAAAAATCGTGCAAAAAAAACTACCACACGGGATTTCAGTACGATCAAGTTTTAAGTCTCCCGGAGAGAAACTCGCTCGAGTATGAATTCGCTCGGTTTAAACTCGCTCGGTTTAATTTCGCTCGATTTAACCTCGCTGGGTTCAACATCACTCGGTTAAATTCGCTCGGTTTAAAGTCGCTCGGGTTCAAATTCGCTCGGGTTTGCTTTCGCTCGGCTTGAAATTTCGCTCGGTTTAAATGCGCTCGGTTTAATATCACTCGGGTTTTAATTCGCTCGGTTGCACCAGCGCAACCAGAGCGAAAACCAAGAGAGACGAGACCGAGCGAAACGAAACCGAGCGATAATAAACCGAACGAAAAAACGAGCGAAACGAAACCGAGCAAAAAACAATTCGAGCGAAAAAAGGCGAGCGAAAACCAAGCGAGCGACAACACATTCGAGATAAAAAACTCGACCGACAACAAAAACGAGCGAAAACAAAGCGAGCGAAAAGAAAGCCAACGAACAAAAAAAACGAGCGACACAAAACGCTACTGTTGAGACCGCCCCGGACTACTCGGGACTAGCCAGCCAGGACTAGCCAGGACTAGCCAGCCAGGACTAGCTGGGGCTACCTGGGGGGGCTGCCTTACCAACTTACTCGAAACGTCACCCCTGATCCGATCACCTCTTGACGCTATCCCTGATCCGAGCGGTTTTCGGGCCGTAACTCCGGCCTGCGGCGGCCGTTCGGAACGGTCTTGGCACCCCCGGAACGCCTTCGACGAGGCGGAGCTGATGGAAACCGCCCGGGAACCCGAACAACCTTCTGGAGACGTTTGAACACTTCTCCCCCTGAGCCTGCACCCCCAGATGACCCATTGATCGCCCTCCGCCCCCCACGAAAGAGAACCTCCACAGGTCCCAGGGGTTGTCACTACCCTCCCGGGGCGGAGCACCTCTCCCTGGGAGGGGCCTTCAGCTCCAGAAGATCAGCGTCGTCGTCGTCGTCGTCGTCGTCATTGCCACCGCCGTCGTCGTCATCGTCAACCCCCTTCAGGATCGGCAGCGCTGGCCGTTAACCGCGTAAGGTGTTTAGAACCCCTCCAATGGAAGGTAACCGATTATTCCCAACCATCCCGTGGTGTTGGGTCCTCCTTTTGAAGAGACGGTCCCCGCGTTCACTCCTCCTCCTCCTCCTCCTCCTACTCCTCCTTTTCCTCCTCCTACTCCTCCTCCTCCTCCTCCTCCTCCTCCTCCTCCTCCTCCCGCTGCCCCCTCCCTCCTCCCCCTCCTGCCCTCCGCCCACCGCATATCCATGTCGGCAAACACCTCACACGTTTCGGGGCCTTATAGATAGGGAGCTGCACCGACGGTCACACTGGCCGCGTCCGCATGCGTCCTCCCCGCCCCATTTCGGCACACCCCTCGCATGTTTCGTCGCTCCATAGGGAGCTCCATCGAAGGGCCCAGTGGCCGCGTCCGCATGCGTCCTCCCCGCCCACGGCAGGCCCATTTCGGCACACCCGTCGCACGTTTCGTGGCACCAAGGGGAGCTCCACCGACGGCCACACTGGCCGCGTCCGCATGCGTCTTCCCCGCCCACCGCATGCCCATGTCGGCACACCCCTCGCATGTTTCGTGGCCCCATAGGGAGCTGCACCGAAGGCCACAGCGGCCGCGTCCGCATGCGTCCTCCCGCCCACCGCAGGCCCATTTCGGCACATCCCTCACACGCTCCGCGGCTCCAGAGGGAGCTCCACCAGAGGCTCAAGTGGCGGCGTCCGCATGCGTCCTCCCCGCCCACCGCAGGTCCATGTCGGCACACCCCTCACACGAATCGTGGCCCCGGAGGGAATTCCACCGAGACCCCCGGTGGCCGCGTCCGCATGCGTCCTCCCCGCCCACCGCATGCCCATGTCGGCACAGGCCTCACACGCTTCATCGTTCTATAGCGAGCTCCACCGAAGACTCCGGTGACCGCGTCCGCATGTGTCCTCCCCGCTCACCGCATGCCCATGTATGAACACCCCTCACACGATTCGTGGCCCCAGAGGGAGCCCCACAAAAGGTCCCAATGGCCGCGTCCGCATGTGTCCTCCCCGCCCACCGCAGGTCCATTTCGGCAACCCCATCACACGCTTCGTGGCCCCATAGGGAACTCCACCGAAGGTCCCAGCGCCGCAGTTCGCATGCGTCTCCCCCGCCCACCGCAGGCCCATTTCGGCAACCACATTACACGTTTCTCGGCCCCATAGGGAGCTCCACCGAAGGCCACAGTGGCCGCGTCCGCATGCGTCCTCCCCGCCCACCGCATGCCCATTTCGGAAAACCCATCACACGTTTCGTGGCCTCATAAGGAACTCCACCGAAGGCCCCAATGGCCGCGTCCGCATGCGTCCTCCCCGCACACCGCATGCCAATGTCATAACACCTCATCACACGTTTCGTGGCTCCAGAGGGAGCGCCACCGAAGGTCCCAGTGGCGCAGTTCGCATGCGTCTCCCCCGTCCAGTACAGCGCTTCGTGGCCCCATAGGGAACTCCACCGAAGGTCCCAGCGCCGCAGTTCGCATGCGTCTCCCCCACCCAGTACACCGTTTTCGTGGCACCAGAAGGAGCTCCACCGAAGGTCCCAACGGCACAGTTCGCATGCGTCTCCCCCACCAAATACAGCGTTTCGCGGCCCCATAGGGAGCTCCACCGAAGGTCCCAGTGGCGCGCCTCCCCCACCCAGTACACCGTTTCGCGGCCCCGTAGGGAGCTCCACCGAAGGTCCCAGTGGCGCAATTCGCATGCGTCGCCCCCACCCAATGAAACGTTTCGTGGTCCCATAGGGAGCTCCACCGAAGGTCCCAGTGGCGCTGTTCGCATGCGTCCCCCCCGCCCATTACACCGTTTCGTGGCCCCAGAGAGAGCTGCACCGAAGGCGATACCCACAACTGCGGTATCCACAGCTGCACATGGTTGGGTCTTTCGCCAGGCTAATTTTCCGGCAGCCTTATTGAAAGACTGGGGGTCCAGTAATAGGAGGTAACTAACTATCCCCCACCATCCTGTGGTGTTGGATCTTCGCTTTGGAGAGGCAGCGCCCCGCGTTCCTTCCACTGTCCTTCCTCTTTCCTCCTCCCCCCGCTCCCTTCTCCCGCTCCACCCATCCCTTGCACCCCATCGCGCGTTTCGTGGCCCCATCGGGAGCTCCACCGAAGGCCCACATGCCAACTCTCGCATGCGCCCACCGCGCCCATGTTGGCATATCGCTCACACGTTTCGTGGCCCCATGGGGAGTTCCACCGAAGGCCCACATGCCAGCGCTCGCATGCACCACCGCACCCATTTTGGCACGCCCCTCACACGTGTTCTGGCCCCGTAAGGAGCTCCACCGAAGGCGCACATTCCAACGCTCGCATGCGCCCGCCGCGCCCATTTTGGGGCACCTCTCACGCGTTTCGTGGCCCCATGGGGTTCTCCACCGAAAGCCCAGATGCCAACGCTCACATGCGCCCACCGCGCCCATTTTGGGACATCGCTCGCACGCTTCGTGGCCCCGTGACAATGGGTTCCACCGAAGGCCCGCATGCCAGGGCTCGCATGCGCAAGCCGCGTCCATTTTTGGGTCACCCCTCACACGTGTCGTCGCGACATAGGGAACTCCACCGACGGCCCACATGCCAGCGCTCGCATGCGCCCACCTCGTCCATTTCGGGACACCCCTCACACGTTTCGTCGCCCCATAGGGAACTCCACCGAAGGCCCGAATGCCAGCGCTCGCATGCGCCCACCGCACCCATGGGGACACACCCCTCACACGCTTCGTGGCCCCATAGGGAGCTCCTCCGAAGGCCCACATGCTCGCATGCCCACATGGCAAGTTTGGATCATCCCTGAAATCGTATTGTGGCCGCATAGGGAGCCCCGCCGACGGCCCACATGCCAGCGCTCGCATGCGCCCACCCCACCGATTTCGGGACACCCCTCACACGTTTCGTCGCCCCATAGGGACCTCCACCGAAGGCCCGAAGGCCAGCGCTCGCATGCGCACACCACACCCATGGGGACACACCCCTCATACGTTTCGTGGCCCCATAGGGAGCTGCTCCGACAGCGATCAACGACGGTGCCCACAACTGCATATGGTGGGGTCTTTCGTCAGGCTAATTGTTTTCCGCGGCACCGGCCGCGCAACAACGACGACGACAGCTACGACTACGATTGCGACTGCGACGGCGACAGCTACGTAGGAGGAGGCGGAGGAGGAGGAGGAGGAGGAGGAGGAGGAGGAAGAGGTTTTAGGACCAGTCCTGTTCACCGCCGAGTGAAAAAGGGGGGGAGGCAAAAACAAAAGACCGTTCGCTGTTAGGCCTGCGCAATCGCCCATTGACCGCCCTCCCCCCCCACACGCAAGAAGACCTCCACAGGCGCCACTGGGGCTCTGCGCGGGCTGCGCCTAGGCGCCCTGGCGGCGGCCCACCGGGCCGCCGCACCTCCAGCGGGGCAGGCGGACGGGGAGACCCGTCCTCCTCCTCCTCCTCCTCCTCCTCCTCCTCCTCCTCCTCCTCCTCCTCCTCCTCCTCCTCCCTCGTGTTCCTCGTCCATCGTCCTCCTCGTCCGTCGTCCTCCTCGTCTTTCGTCCTGCTCGTCCCTTGTCCTCCTCGTCCCTTGTCCTCCTCCTCCTCCTCCTCCTCCTCCTCCTCCTCTCCTTCTCCTCGCCCTCCTACTCCTTTCCCTCCTCGTCCTCGCCCTTCTGCTTCCAAGTCTTCTCTCTCTCCTCCTCCTCTCCTCCTCCTCCTCCTCCTCCTCTTCCTCCTCCTCCTCCTCCTCCTCCTCCGCCCCTCCTCCTCCTCCTTCTCCTCCTGCGTCTTCTCCTCCTCCTCCTCCTCCTCCTCCTCCCCTCCTCCTCCTCCTTCTCTTGCGCCTCCTCGTCCTCCCCCTCCTTCTCCTCTTCCACCTCCTCCTCCTCCTCCTCCTCCTCCACCTCCACCTCCTCTTCTTCTCCTCATTTCTCCTCCCTCCTACTCCTCCTCCCTTCTCCTCCTCCTCTTCCTCCTCCTCCTCCTCCTCCTCCTCCTCCTCCTCCGCCTCCTCCACCTCCTCCTCAGCATCATCATCACCACCGCTACCACCACCGTCGTCATCAGCATCATCATCATCATCATCATCACCACCACCATCATCATCATCATCATCATCATCATCATCATCATCATCATCATCAGCATCATCATCATCATCACCATCAGCATCATCATCATCATCATCATCATCATCATCATCATCATAATCATCATCACCATCATCGTCAACAGCATCGTCATCAGCAGCAGCATCATCAGCATCATCAGCATCACCATCATCGTCATCATCATCAGCATCATCGTCCTCATCGTCATCGTCATCATGATCATCATCAACACCACCACCACCATCATAAGCAGCAACATCAGCACCACAAGCATAAAATGAATAATAATCATCATAACCATCATCATCATCAACCTCATCCTCATCCTCATGCGCATCCTTTTCTCCTCATCATCATACTCATCAGCATCTGCAGCATCATCAGCATCATAACACTCAGCATCATCATCAGCAGCATCATCCGCATCATCATCAGCATCATCATTATCCTAAACACCATCATCACCATCAGCAGCATCATCAACATCATCAACATCAGCAGCAGCATGATCTCCTTTCCTCCTCCGCCTTCTCCTCATCTTACTCCTCTTCCCTCCTCCTCCTCCTCCTCCTCATCCTCCTCCGCCTCCTCCTCCCTGCTGGTCCTCCCATTCCTCATCTTCCTCATCATCACCACCACCATCAACAGCATCGTCATCATCAGCTTCACCAACATCAGCAGCAGCAGCAGCACCACCACCAGCACCACGATGATAAATACCATCAATGCCAGAACCACCACCATCACAGTCACCATCACCATGGCCACCACCATCATCATCGCCATCACCACCAGAACCAACATCATCATCCTCATCACCATCAACAACATCATCACCACCATCATCGTCATCGTCATCATCATGATACCCACCGTCATCGTCATCACCATCATAATCATCAACACCAGTGTTAGCACCAGTACCAACATCATCACCATCATCACCATCACCATCACCACCGTCATCATCGCCATCATCGTCATCATGATCATCATCAACACTATCATCACCATCATCATCACCATCATCACCACCAACATCATCATAATACGAACCGTAATGCTCAACATAATCATAACCACACTCACAATCATAATGATAACCAACATCATCACCACCACCATCAGCATCACCACCATCACCGTCACCATCAGCATCATTATGATCATGATCCTGTTCATGGTCATGATGATGATCATCAGCATCAGCTACATCGTCATCGACATCGCCATCGTCATCGGTATCATCATCCTTATCCTCTTTTCCCCTCCGCCTCCTCATCCTCCTCTTCCTCCTACTCGTCTTTCATCTCCTCCCCCTCATCCGTCCTCCTCCCGGGAGGCAATAGTAGCCTTTTCACCTCGGCGAGAGCGGCCGGCTGGTGGCAAGCATGCTCACCGCCAACTCCTACACTGCGCCGCTGATCAGCTTCTCCTCCCGTTTCTCCCTCCTTTGCGTTCATGAACGACGTGCACCCCGCACCCAAATGTGAACAAATGTTGCACCGCGAGCCAACCTCCAACCGTGCTTTCGGCCCACGCCTGGCCACAGAGCCTAAAGGTGCAGCTGCACGCGGACTCCACTGAGCCGCCTGCCTGCCACAACCTGAGAGAGGTCAGTGATGCTAGGTATGTGGGGCTTGGGATAAGTCTCAAACAAAATCCGAGCCTCCGCCACGGAAGGCATAAACCTCCACCACGCACGGTGGAATCCACCCAGAAGGCCACCAGCCCCGCGGTCTGGGTACCTTACTCCTGCTTGCAGGGGAGGGTACCAGCCGCTGGGCTGGTGGACGCTTCGGGAGGCTTCCTACGTGCAGGGGGAGCGGCCCTTCTGCCTTCTACCTTAGCGAGAGTGACCGGGCGTGCGTGCGCACGCATCGCCGCTGCCCCTCACACTCACCTCAGCAATGAGCCACAGCTGAACCTCACCGCCAACCCGAGATTTCGCCACCGCCTCACCGCCAACCCGGCATTACCTCGAGCGTCAAAGTTGGCTCAAGCATCTTCTACACGATTTCTATCTATCCGTTCGAGCGCGTTTCTTTATCATCGGCGATGACGGGCGTCATGGGGGGGTGACGTAACGCCCCCCCCCCCGCAGTGTGGTTCAGGCATCACAACCGCGCCCGCGCGCACGACGACGATGAGCGACGGGCGACGAGCGACGAGCGACGAGCGACGACGACGCCGACGCCGACGACGACGACGACGACGACGACGACGACGACGACGACGACGACGACGACGACGACGACGACGGGGACGACGAGGACGCGGGCAGCATGTAGGTGGCGATCTGCCCCACAGCGCCTGTGTACACCAAAGTGCTCGCGTGCACCACAGCGCTTGTGCACACCACAACGCATGCGTACACCGCAACAGCCGTGCGCAACGCAGCGCCTGTGTACACCACAGTGCTTGCGCGCACCACAGCGCCGGTGCACACCGCAGCGAATGTGCACACCGCAGCAGCCATGTGCAACACACCGCCTGTCTACACCACAATGCCTACGTGCATCGCAACGCCTATGCGCACCACAGCGCCAGTCTACACCACAACATCCGCGTACAACGCAGCGCTGGTGTACACCAGAGTGCCTGCGTGCACATGACAGGTAGAGGAGCATGTCGGTGAGGATCTGCTGCGGACAGCTGAACGCCACGCCAAGGAAGTGCTGATCATACACTGCGACGCATCTCCATCCTCCCTCCTCCACCTCCGCTTCCTCCTCCTCCTCCTCCTCGTCCGTTTCCCCCTCCTCCTCGTCCTCCTCCTCCTCCTCCTCCTCCTCCTCCCTCGCCCTTCCCCCATGTCGTGCGGGTCGGCGCTAGAGCGCACGTGCGCTTCTCAGCGTGCACAGCAACATGGTCGATTGAATCAGTCCACTTGATCCTCGGACGGCCAATTTAGCTGGAGCCTCCTGGACGCAGATGGGAAACATTAGGATGATGCGGGCGGACTCCGGAGGACTCGTAGATTCCAGCGGCGCACCTTTTTCCACAAAGAGTTCTTTCCAAATCCTATGTCGAACACTTGTTTCCAGTTCAATCCACAGGCGCTCCACTTTGTCATAAGACTTTGTTATAACATTCCACATGCAACAATGGTGCTTTGTTACACACGGTTGCTGTGAGGCACACTGGCGCCGTGGTGTACACAGGCGCTGTAGTGCACGCAAGCATTGTAGTGTACACTGGCGCTGTGTTGCACACGGCTGATGTGGTGTACGCAAGCGCTGTGGTGTACACAAGCGCTGTGGTGCCAGCAGGCACTGTGGCACACACTGGCGCTGTGTTGCACGCGGCTACTGTGGTGTACATACGCGGTGTGGTGTGCACAGGCGCTGTGGTGCACACAGGCACTGTGGTGTACACAGGCGTTGTGGTGCAGATCGCCACCAACACGCTGTTGCTACCCGTCCTCGGTCATTCCCAGGCATTCCCAAACGCCGCTGGCGCGAAAGGTGACGTCATCGGCCCCTCCACCCCCCCCAAGATGATTGCCGTCATCGGCCCAGAATGAATATTACACTGTGACGTACCCAACCCTTTCTATACATGTGGCGATTATACTCAGGACCACTCAATGCTGACTGGCATTCTGAAGGACCCGAAGTGCGCAAGAAGAGCACCCAGAAGTGATTTCAGAAGAGCGCAGCAAGAAGAGGAACGGCAAATATACAAAATGGAAACACACGGGGGTTGACAGAAACGCGTATGACGTACCTCCGAGTGATCCACGTTGGACGTACCTCCGGTGGGCCTCCCAGGAGCCCACGAATGTGGCGACAATTGCGCAGATCGCAAGCCCCCCAGGGGGCGGCGAAGTCCTGAGGTGATCCGCGTTCGACCCACCTCCGCTGGGCCTCCCAGGAGCCTACGAAAGTGGAAACAATTGCGCAGATCGCAAGCCCCCAGGGGGCGGCGAGGTCCTGAGGCGATCCGCGTGGGACCCACCTCCGCTGGGCCTCCCAGAGCCCACGAAAGTGGCGACAATTGCGCAGATCGCAAGCCCCCAGGGGGGCGACGAGGTCGCGAGGTGATCCGCGTGGGACCCACCTCCGCCGGGCCTCCCAGGAGCCCACGGAAATGGCGACAGTTACGCAGATCGCAAGCCCCCAGGGGGGCGACGAGGTCCTGAGGCGATCCGCGTGGGACCCACCTTCGCTGGGCCTCCCAGAAGCCCACGAAAGTGGCGACGGTTGCGCAGATCGCAAGCCCCCAGGGGGGCGGCGAGGTCCCGAGGTGATCCGCGTGGGACCCACCTCTGCTGGGCCTCCCAGGAGCCCACGAAAATGG